ATTTTAGAATTTATTTTACCTTCAATAGCATTTTCAGTTTTGAAACAAAGGGTGCACAAAATATCCAATTCATCATCTTTACTAGCATGGCCACAGAAGGTATGAATTTTTTGACAACATTTTTTTGCATGATAATGCATCACTTGTTTCCTTTAAACACACACAACAGGTATCAAAAACGGAAATCTCTTTGGTAAGCATGTCTTCATCATGTTGGTTTAATCCATTAACGACTATAATCTCATCATGTTTTTTAAAACTGACTCTTTTTCTTGCATAATCTGATTAGTTTCATCTTTTTCCATTGTTTTGATGCTTTCTATTACTTTTTCTAGCTTCTCCTCTGTATTTATGTCTTTTAAAACATCTTCTGGTAGAAAAGACGATGTAAGCCCTACTTCAGGTTTGCAGCCAAAAAGAGCGTCGTATGGTGTTCTTTTGATCCCAGAATGATAAGCTCTGTTTTTCATAAATTGAATGAAATGTAGTCCTTCACTCCAGTGGTCAGATTTGTTGTCCTGCATCCAAGTACAGAGCATATTTTCGATATCTTGATTAGCTCTTTCGACACTACCCTGGCTTTGTGAATGGCGAGGCTTCCCATGGACGATCTTCAGTGCTGGCCAAAACTTCTTCAAGCTGGTCACCACATTATTGGCAAATTCCCTATCATTGTCAGACTGTAATATAGATGGTGCTCCAAGTAATGAGAATATGTCCACTAGGTTATAGGCTACTTCTTCAGCTCTTTTTGACATTAGAGACTTAAAAATCACAAATTTTGTGAGATGATCTTGGTACACCATAATAAATTTGTATTCTCTATCTGGCTGAGACTGAAAGTCAATAAGATCTACTTGACAACGGGAATTAAATTCGGAAAAAATCATAGGTTTCACAACAATGCCCTTTTTAATACCTTTCTGTTTTTTCTGGCAAGGTTCACAAAGGTGGATGTACAGTTCAATATCATGACGTGTAACATTTTTGTATTTGATTGAAAGTTCTTTCAACATTCTATCACGTCCTCCGTGTCCAATAGCCAAATGAGCTTCATGAAGTACGTGAAATAACTCTGAGTCCGTGACGTAATACTGTATAGTACTGACGCCTTCTTTAACAGGATAAATGAGTTTACTTTTGTTTTCTACAATCATCACATCATAGCGATTCAGCAACCAATAGTCCCTGGGTTCCTTCTTAGTAGTCATTTTGGCTTTTTGTACATCATTTATTAACTTCTGGTAAGTAGTTTCGGTTAAGAAAATACTGTTTTTTGCAGCATTAACTCGAATTTTGCACAGTTCATCGTCGAATCGTTGTTTCATGTCTATAGACCATGACACCTTCTCCAACACTACAGCTTGCTCCTCCATTTTCATGGACCACAGTAAAAAACTAATTTTTTGTTGAACAAATTTAAGTAAAATTGCGTATTTTGACACTCCCGAACAAACCGCAAAGTGCAACTGACAAATTCTAAGCCTGAGCCGCTCGTTAAAAGTCACGTGCCTTGCCAC